TTTAAAATATTAAAATTAAAATATTTACAAAATAAAATAAAATATTAAAAAATATCTAACTAAAAATTATATATTTAAAATAAAAAAATAAATTTTTCTTAAACATTTTTAATGTTTTAAAAAAATAGATCCAAAAAATTTAAAATACAACTCAAAAAATTAAAAACACCAAACATTTATTAGTAGCACAGAATTGGAGAGAGAGAGAGAGAGAGAGAACCAAATCGCAACAACAATTAGGCAGTACTAATCCTTAATAAAATAGTATGCATATGGCTGCAACTATTTTATTTTTCTCAATACTATAATATCAGACAATACAGATTGTTTTATTCTCTTTCAGTTCCAAACAGTAGAGCTAAAATGCAAGTAACCTTTAAAAACTAACAATCTAGTATGAGTTGGTTAGCAATATTTATATATCCCCTAAATGAATCCTCCATTAATGTGAAAGGTCTATAAAGAAGCTCTTTTACTAATATAAAGTAGCCTTTCTCAAATGATACATCATGGTCCATGCCCAAAATCCCAAATATCCTCACCACATGATTGAAAGATACAAAAATTGTTAACTCGTTAACTTATAAATTAGAGCCTGCCAGCATTTGGGTCCTCTCAAGTTCAAATGATAAATGATAATAGATAATATTAGGCACAAGGGACCAAAAGCACTAGAAGCAAGTTATTAGGTTATGTTCTTTTTCATTCACCTGTATATTTAGGAGTTCGCTTCTCAGCAAATGCTTCCAAGCCTTCTAAGCGATCTTTTGTGTTCAAAAGCTGTTCGTAGCACTCTTCTTCCAATGCCAAAGCTGATGCCATATCTACCTCGAGCCCCTCATTAATAGCTCGCTTTGCCATCCTTAATGCCAATGGACCGTGAGAAGAACATGATGTGTTCTTATCAATGTGCAGCATGCAAATGTAAGAACAAGTATTTTTCCCCCAAGAAGTAAATTTAACATATCTTCTCTTTTGGGGGGGTTAAAATCCATTATTACTAGCTGAAATCCACTTACAGTTGATCATTAGTACATAAAAAGGAGAATTTGGCGAGTACTTGATTTTACAACAGCCAAAAATCTTCTTTTATTTTAATATATACACCGCACAGTGACGCGAATAATATTAATCATCAGAGGATTGAATTGATCTTGTGAGGTGTAATAACCTATGCCTGAGTCAAAGATTGAGAGTTATGAACCACTGATGCCATGTTTGAATTGGATATGTATCAGAAACCAATACATGTCAGACACAATCCAATATGCATTGGATGTGTTATATGTATTAGAAAATTATTGAATTAGTTTTTCAGGACTAGATAGAAATAGGATACATTCAGAATCTCGAATATGATGGATGCATTTGTTAAATTACTAGAAAGGGGCCAATAGAAGAAATAAAAAGTATTTTTTTTAAATACAACACAAAATAGTAGGTTTATTTTGTGAAAATAAGAAATTTTAAGCGTATATAAAGGTTGATTGACCAACCACCTGTTGGGGTAAGCAAACAAATTGAATAAGAAAATATTGAAGATTTGGAATTTTATTTATTTAGGAGTTTAATTTATTTAGGAAGTTAAAACTTTGTACATTATGCCAAAGGTTAGGTGTGTACTCAATCTTTCCCCTCCCAAACACACATTAACGTGTACTAATTGTGCGTTGTTGTTGTTTTTTTTTTTTTTTAAGTTTAGGATTTATTTCTTAGTTTGTATTTGTTTCCTCATAAGATTAGTTTGATTTACCTATACATATGACTTTTATGTAAGAGTTTTGCAGAGTTTACATGAATATTGATTAACTGATATATTGATTGGTATTGTGTTCTTTTCCTTTTCTCCGTCTCCTGTACCGGTGCTGCATCACAACCTTTCATGTCTTGGGCGATTCCCTCTCTTTCTAAATCAAAGCTGAGGCAGAAACCCATATAATCAAATTTCTAGTCAAACCTATTGAACTTACACTCAAGCGTGATTGAGCCTCAAACCTCAAACAAAGCCTAGTCAAACTTGACTAAGCCCTGAACCAAAACTGACCATTGCTCAGAGACTACTAATTTTGAGTAGAACACTAAGGGCCTCTTTGGTAATGCTATATTTACAATTTTCTGTTTATATTTACAAAAATTTTGAAAACTGTAAACAGACACTCATTTGGTTTTTGTTTCCATTTCCAAAGAATTGTAAAAAAATTTGTAAATACGAAAAAGTTTAGTTTTACTTTTCTTTTCTTCTCCCCCATTTCTTCCTCTTTCTCCCACCCATTCCGACCACCACACTGCCAACCACCTCCCACTAGTGGCAACCACCTTCGGCCACCACCTTACGCGGCCGGCAACCACCTTCGGCCACCATCTCCAACCATCAACGAACACATCTTTCACTTGTTTTCAAAACAAAATTTTAAAATTCTTGAGTACCAAATATATTTTTTGTTTCTATTTTTATCCAAAACAAACATAAACATGTTTAGTGTTTTCTATAAACTAAAACAATTAACTGTAAATATTGCCAAAAGGCACCTAAGAATTCTCGAAGAATTTATCAAAAAGTTTCGATTATCATGTATAATACAATATATAAAATATACACTTGACATATTCTACTATTGTATATTTGCAATGGACCACAGATTGACAAAGAAAATCTGATTTCGTAAGTATAACCACACATGTATGTGATGTCCAAGTCTAACTTCCAACTATCATTAAAAAAAATGACTAGCACTTTTGTTAAGGTTTATGTTGTGAATCCATATCTTAATCCCAGAATGGATGGTTCTGGTAAGTAAAGACTCCTGCATCACACGGAAGACTTCTTGAACGAACAAGAACTCCAATCTATGAAGCACCGACACTTCAAAACAAGTGTCGTATCCGTGTCGGACACGTATGGGACACACTACATGGCGTGTACCCTTATTTAATTAATTTATTTTCAAGGAACACTTCGAGGACACATTAGGGACATGCCAAATTGTCTTTTTCCCCCATTTTATTTACTGCTTTTGATAAATGCTGAAAGTTGAATATTTATTATTTTTTTCTTAGATTTAAATACTTAATAGATCATCCTAAAAAATGATATAAACTGTAAATGCTAATTTAAAAGTGCTTTTACAAAAATAAATAAATAAACAAATAAATAAGTTAGAATTAGTTTTTGTTAATATTGATTGTTTGTGGATGTAATATTAATCTGGATGGCAAATAAAAATATATGAAAATATATTTTATTGCCGTGTCCGTGTCCCCAATTTTTTGAAATCGTCATGTCCCGTGTCCGCATCTATGTCCATGTCCGTACTTCTTAGATTCCAATCAATGCTTCTTCACAAATACACATAAATAATAACCACTTCAATACACACTAGAGAATGCAACAACCTTGTGAATCATCATTATAGCACATTGTGAGGACACTCCTTACAAGACAAAAAAAACCATCCTATGTGAGGGATTCAAATAAAATCACAAAAAGGTCCAGTAAATACAGTATTTATCTTTTTATTTTGAGACCATTATAACCCATACCATTATTCGAGACATGATATACTCATCCAATCTCATCTTACCAAGCCAACACAGGGTTTGTCTGATATTGACTTTGACATGGGAGCAGTTTTGGTCTTACAAGGGATGCAATGTATACTGCCACTTCGCAAAGTCTGACAGGTAAAAGATAACTGCTGATGCCAGGAAATTTTAAGAATCAACATAACTGCAAATAACCCTAAAGGGAAAAACTGTATGATGTAAGGCTCACATGCATCGCACATGGCACCCCAGTTGTATCTAGAAGATTCTGGAGACATACAGACTTGTACCTTCTGATTGATATTCCGAGCAATTTCAAGTGCCTTTAAATGAGCTTCACCAGCAGGAACACAGTGATTGACAAGGCCTGCATCAATGCACCTTTGTTGCTCAGTGATGACTAAAAAAAGTTAAAATTGGAGCAGCTCCCAAACAAACATACCCATTGAAACTGCATCTCTGCCACCAACTTTCCGACCACAAAATATAAGTTCTTTCGCCACCGATCTTCCAACCAACCTAGGAAGCCGTTGCGTCCCACCTGCCCTGCAGAAGGTTAAAATTCCATCATAAGGTCATCTGATCAAGCATGAATCCTTTGCTGGAAACTTATTATTCATGCTAAAGAAGGTTGGATATAAGTAGTGTTTAAAAAAATAAATAAATACATGAGCTGCAACATCCTACTAACATGCAATATTGAGCTGGTATGATGCTACAATTCTCCATCAATTATAGGCATGCCAAAAGTCAATATATAAAAGATCTAGGGTAAGTTAAAACTGAATTGCATAATCCCTAACCAGCAAGATTGAGGTAGTTCCCAATCAAAAAATCAACATAACAAAGATTACAAAATTTTAATTGAGATTATAGACATACCCAGGTATTATAGCAAGGCCCGTTTCAGGCAAGCCCAACACAGCATCTTCTCCTGAGTAATTTATAGTGAAACCATCAACTTCTGAAAAGCTTATTAAAAGAAAAATTGAAACATTCATAGAGAATCAAATAAACTTTGAAGCATCAAATACAGAATTACCACAAATCCGAAGATCACAAGATAGAGCCATTTCCAATCCGCCACCCAATGCTGCACCTTCAATAACAGCTATAGTAGGGATATGAAGCGCCTGAAGTATTTGTCAATTTTGTTTAAGAGTTCTAATAAGAAAAGCATACATAAAACTCATATTTATGAATAATAATAATAGAAGAATTCATAAATGAGTGAGGTTCCTTCTATTTGTGCCTTCAAGCTGGTTAGAAGATAAGTATCTGTTTAAAAAAATGTAAAAGAATGAAGAGGACAAACCTCCAAGTATGAGAAAGTGGAGCGCAAAGAGTTCACGAAAGCCTGAACCTCAGATGAACTCATTGTCTTCCGTTCCTACCAATCCAATTTACAGCAAAAGCACTGTTATGGAAGTAAACCAGCTGTTAAACAACTATGGTCCCAAGAAATACAATCAACACATGAATTATTTTTACAATTAATACATCAAATATTAAAAGCATAAGATCAGTATCTAACATTAAAAATAAATAAACAAACAAACATAGACTATTGTATCAAACTAGTAGACAAATTGCTGAGGGTTAAATTGACAAACAGAACATTTCCCAAATTATCTAGGAAGCACAGATAACAGATACGGGAAATGGGGATGATATGACACAGATACGGTGATGCGTCAATATTTAGAAAACTAGCATATGGATACGACAAGAATACGTCAATAACAAAAAATTATTTAATGTTTTTATTATATAGTTATGATAATTACAATTTCAAATTATTATTTAATTTTAACAGTTAAAGAAGTGGGTCAATAAAACAACCAGACTTTTCTTTCTTTCTTTTAGCTGAAGTCATGTTGAAATGACTCCAAAAATCACAAAATATGCACCACCTGGCCACATAGAAAAACCAGTTCGAAAGCACTCATGACAGTAGCAGATGAGTTGCCTTCAAAACTCATAAATTCTCTCTCTCCGCGCCCTTCGTATTTCTCTTCCACACGTGCATTCTTCTGTGTAACAATACTAACCAAGTCCTTCCTACCCATGGTAATCAAGGTTATTTTATTAATATTTTATTGAGGGATAAGTACCAGATATGGATACTTCAACCTATTTGAGGTATCAGTGCTTCCTAGCAAATTATATTAGGAGAACACCATTCATGAAAGCATACCATGTTTTTAATGAAGTAGTTAAAAGGAAAAATCAACATCACAGAATCCGGTTATAGAAACAAAACAAGAAGTTATCGTATGATGGTGGGCTGGTAGAAAATTCATAAGGTTTAGGAGCGGTAAAAGCTTAAAAAAAGAGCATCTATATTTAATGCTCAATACAACGTATCTCTTATGCGAGCCAGAGAAAAAAAGATATTGGGTATTCTTGAATTCTTATTCCATGACCTGTGTCTACTATGTAGTAGATTGGCCTTCTGACCATTCAACATGCAACCTGTTGTTAATCACTCATCTGCCCTTTCACGTTTACATGATCAGTGTGGTGAATACCAATTTGTAGCTGCCCGAGTACCTACTCGTTAGTCCGAGTACATTCGTTACTTTCTGCGAAGCTTACTTGAATTGTAGGGATGGCCTCAATATGGTATATATGTCCAGATTGGCCTTCACTTTCATTTAACTGTTTTAAGCAACTCTACTTTTATCAAACAAGCATGAATATTTCTTCTCAGTGATGTTTGAGTCATATTCATGGAACACTAATGATTTTTGCAATATTCTTGCAATGAAATTGAAAGTCTTCCTTTCCTTTGTAGAAATCAGTAAAATTATCATCTTCCTATATATTACACGGACTCTTCAAAATAAATCAAGTACTAATGTTGGACACTTGACACCTGGATAAGGTTTTAGGATATGTGTCTCATTGTAACGCCCTCAAAATAACACATATAAACCCAACATTCATGATATACATAGACAAGAGAATAAAACATATTTCCATTCGTCAGAGTATTCTTACAAAAAGTAATACATATTGACAACAAAAGTAAATGCCCTGTAGGCTTACAACTTTTCAAGTCAACACTTAGTTACAACAAAAGAAGAATTCTAACTCTCTACACAAATAAGCCCTTGGCTTGAGTTTACATGTACCACCAAAAATACCAAAATAAACAAAAGAGTCGACCTTCCAAGCTACGTCCTTGGAGGTGGCATAACACCTGAACCTGAAAATGATATCCCATATAGGGTGAGCCAACGCCCAGTAGAGATATGCTAAACATAATATGAGCAATAACTAAAACATCGGTATTTGATAAATGTTTAACTCATATAAACAAACACACATCTCTTTCCATTTCATTATCCAAACAAATTCATAGATATGGTTCTTTATTCAACCAAACAGTTCATAATGAGCCAAAAACTCATATTAACAATACTTCAACAATTCAATTTTCAAATGAGACTACAACTCATATTAACAATACTTCAATTCCTCTACATTATGCAAACGCAATTAGGATTTCGAGACTTTCACCCTGGACACTCCGGCCAACTTAGTTATCACTGGAGTCCATCCCCTATCTCCTCCCAAACCGTGGAGTACATCCCATCCTCCACCGATAGCCCAAAAACAATTATTTTTAAATAGATAATAAATTCATCAAACAGATAATTTCTCAACATTCTCATAGGTGAGTGATAAACCAATCCAACTACACCATTCAATCACATAATTTCCCAATCTCAGTATTTCCAAACCAATTTCATATTTCCATAATAAATTTCATTTATTACACAAATGACCCGATTAAACCCAACTAAGGCATTTTCTCCTTTTTTTCTCAACATTGACCCAAAGGTCCAAATATCATCAATAAACATCAATAGCCTTATTTTAAGACCCAAAATACACATGCATTGGTCAAAAGAACAAAACCCCTCTTTATATAATTTGAAACCCTAACACGCAAAACTTCCCAACTTCAACATTAAATCAAAATGAGCACAAGTTTATGTCAAAGATCATAAATATGAGTAGTTATCCCTATCTCAAATTTCGGAGCTCAAAGGAGAAGATGAAGAAATTCGAAGGTGCTCCAAACCCAAAGATTTTTGGATCAAAATGTAGCCCATACTAAGCTCCACACTTTTTACAAAGGGACTAGGGTAGAAGATCACTAACACTAGATGATTTCTTAGAGAGAAGATGTAGTCTAAAGTGAGAAGCTCTCAAGTTTGGGTTTTGAAAAGCTAGAGAGAGAGAGAGAGTCGAAAAAGTGACTAATGCTAAAATTCGGATTGATATAATACACAGTCCGCTCGAGCGTGGAATGCCCCGCTCGAGCGTGGAACGCCCTGCTCGAGCGTCAGACACAGACTCCCGCTCGAGCATGAAAAGCGACACTCGAGCGTCGAATGCACACTTCCAGAAGTTCTGCAGACGAAAGTCCCCGCTCGAGCGTGAAAGTGGTCGCTCGAGCGTCCGACGACCTGCAGGGAAAAATACTGAGGGTTAAATAATCACGCTTGAGCGTCAAAATGCCCGCTCGAGCAGAGGAACAAAAGCAAAGGGCCCGCTCGAGCGTCAAAAGCCCCGCTCGAGCGTGAAGGCCAAAATCTGGGCATCAACCCTTGGTTTCCAAATACAATCAACCCATTTCAAACCTGCCCAACACAACCCAAGACTCAAATACAAGAGTAAAGGATGGGAACGAGTATAAGACAACAACCAACATCCACGGACCCGAGCCCGAAATAAAATTAAACAATGAAGGAAAAACCGGAATCGCTATACTCATACTTTCTATCAAATATGCGCTTAGCAAGAACATCCATCAATTTAGCTTGTTTATATAATTGTATTTAACGTTATAATTATTTGTATTTTTTGTTGCATAATTACTATAAAACAAGTAAGGTGCTTTTTTATCCAAAAAAGGATTAAAAATATAGAAAGTACAATCCTTTTTTGCCAAGTCCACATATCCTTCAATTAGAAGCTTGATGAACCCAAAGGCTCCCTTACCCGATAACCGCATACAAGTCCGTGTAACATAGATCTTCCTAGAATAACAAATAGATGATATCCAATGTAAATTGAGGAACAAGAACAAGAAATGGAAGTGGAGGCAAAAAATTTCACTCCTTCTCTCCCCTTGAAAACATTGTCTAGGGGTACAAAGTTAAGGAATGAAAAAATATAAACAAATAAATACATTACTAAGGTAGCGTTTGGTAACATTTACGTTTTTTGTTTATGTTTACAAAAATTTTATAAATTGATTTTTGTTTATTTTTAAAAAAATATAAACTACAAACATGTTTGGTTTGGACAAAATGTTTGAAAATTTTTAAAAACATAAACTTAAAAACATATTTGTTAACGCCAAAAATATTTATATTTATTTTTTATTATTTATGACAATAGGATCATACACATTATAATAAGCATCCATATTAACCATATTAATATAATACCAACCATAGATAAATTTAATAACCATATTAATAATGTTCATAACAGCTAACATACAAACCATAATAATAATATCACCATCAACCACGTGGAGCAGTAAAGCCAAATATAGAGAGAGAGTGTTTGAAAACCTAGAGAGAGAGAGAGAGATCAGGGAAGAAGAAGAAGAAGAAGAAGAAGAAGAAGAGGGTGGCAAGACCTCCTCCGTTATTCTTCGCCGCCGCTGCCGAAGAGCTAAACAATCTTCGCCGCCGCCGCCGCCGCCGCCGAAGAGCTAAACAAGAAGAAAGACTGAAATCGATCTCAGTTCGCAATCCAAACACTGACCTCACAATCTCAGTCAGCAGATCTCTTTTCATTCTTTCTTTCTTTCTTTCTTATATTTATATATATATATATATATTTCAAAAATTTAACTAAAAACTCTTACTTCTAGAGTCTCCTCATGAGAGGAGTCTCATTGGAAGCTTAGAGAGATTATGAAAGTCTATTGATATTTATAGGAAAAGATTTTTCAAAAAGAACCTACAAAATTTTATGTGGGATTCAATCAAATTATTTTAAACATATTGATTGGAGGGAGAGTTGAAAATTTCATTTTCCTCCAAACTTAAATCTAGCATTCAATCAATTTGTTTGGAGGGAATGTTTAAAAATTTAATTTCTTTAAAACAAGTGACTTTTTCTTATCAATTATGACTATTAAATATTATTAATAAATACTATGCAACAATTTTTATTTTTATTTGAGTATTTATATATTTTTTTATTTATTTACAATTTATAATTATATAATATTAATTATGACGTCACGATTTGACCGCTTTGATCCAACGGTTAAACTGGTGACCCGTCCACCGGTCCTTTTTCCGATTTGCTCACCGGTCCGATTTTCAAAACATTGCTTGCTCCTACGCAGATTCGAACCATGGTCTGTGTTATGCACACCCCAAATTACTGTAACTCCGTGTTTTTGGTGTGTTTAAAAACCAACGTAAACTCATTTTTTGAGTTTACAATTTTTTTATCAAATTTACAAACTGAGACCACTAGTTTATAAACCAAAAAATTTACCAAACAAGTTTTTATGATAGTTTTTTAAAGAGTGCTACTATTAGCACCTGTCAAAATTCTTTGGACCCCCCATTTTATAAAGGGCGAAAGTGGAAGTCAAATGTGAAGGAAAAACACTTAGAACTACCAACTACTTGATATCACATGCCCATCCATTCCTAAGTAGGTGACAAACACCTAACAAATGGTGTATGACTAAGGGGAGGAACAATATAGGATAAACTTTTTAAGGGAGCTTCCACTTAGCAACAAATTTAACTCCTTAAACCCATTTTCTTATCACACTCACTTCAAAATTTTAAAATTTTCATTTCAACTCTTTACACCCCTTATAATTCCAAACATATCCCCATTCCTAACCTCCCACCATCTCTTACACCCACATCTTCCTCTCTCCTTTTTTTCTCTCCCCTTCCCCCCCTTCTCACTTCTATTTCTTTCACCACCACTACTAAGGACGACAATAGTGGGACGACCTTATTCTTTTTCATTTTCCTTTTCTTTTTTTTTTTGCGTTCAAGCTTTGTTTGGCCAACCAAGGCTGAAATGGCAAAACAAGTCAAGTTTGCTAGATTGTTTCCGGCCAAACGAACCAAAAATGGTGAAATTAGTCACATTTAGCAGTAGCTGTCCGAACAATCTTGGTTTGATCATGAACTAGAGGTTCGACTTTAGTTTTACAAATAGAACATGTCTAAAAGGAAACTGATGCTATATCATGAAGGATAGAATTTCGGTGGAATCAGAAAACTTATACCATGTCATGAAAGGATGGAATACTGAGGGACCGAGGATTATGCTTCTTATTAGTTGATAGAAGGAATCTTCTTCTTTTTTTTCAGTCCAAGAAGCACATATACTTCTATGAAAGTGCCGTGTCCATGTTAAAGACACTGACACTTGTCAAACACTCTTTGACACATTATGTCCATACATGTCCTATTATTTTATTTTATCTTTAGAACCAGACAAACACTATTATTTTATATTTTTTAGAATTGTACAACTCTTTGACACATCACATCCAAACAAGTCCTTTATTATAGTGCATATTGTATATCCTTCATTCTATTCAATAAGTAAATATTACCTGTAAGTCTGTAACTATAATCATGTCTGCTAACTTAATTAAAAAATCAGAGATCACATACTACCTTCAAATCAGCACCTGCGCAGAACACTCTGGGAACTGAACTACTGATCATTAAAATATTTGCACTAGAATCCCTATTTATAGCTTCAAAGCTGTGCTGCAATCCTCTCGGCATGTCCTTCCCAATGGAATTTTTTGCTCCAGGCCTATCCAATTTAACCTCAATAATTCCTCTAAATAAACCTAAATTGAGGTAGTAGTTGAAAAGAAAAATCAAAGAGAAGATGATAGCTTCGAGGAAATCAAGTACTTAGCATGATAAGATGGCAGTGTCTCAAGGGAACTCAGGCAAATAAATTTGCAAGGAAGAGAACGAATGCTGAATTAAAATATGTCCATTAATTTCAATAAAGGTGCTGCAAGGAAGAGGGAAAATGAACAAAAAGGTATAGGTTATGGCAGTGAAATAAACATATTGAACCCATAATTTAGCCCAAAAAATGTCCATAGATGGCCTGGAGTTCGAAAACAGGATTTTAAGTTAGCCGCATTGTTAGGATAAAGCTTTGTTGAATTAAGATTCCAGTAATTTTGCAAGACATCATTGTATGAACATATCTACATAGCAAAACCCATCACAAGATGGTCATCACCACTCAACACTACACCCACCCCACCCCCACCACTTTTCACTTTTTGTCTCTACCAAACCCACCACCATTACCAGACTTGTCTACACTCGCCACCAAGCCACCAATTACCATCCCATACACCAACACCTTCTCATGGTTGATTTTCAAAAAAAATGAGTCCAAATCAAGCGTCAATTTTTCATTCAAGCCCTAACTCCTCTAAGTATATAGCTTTAATATTGGTTTTATGTGAACTACAATTTCAAACAAGAGACAGTTAATTTTGTCATTTTGCTTCTTCCATAACCACAGGTCCACAGGAGGCTCTATTTACACACCACTTTTCCTCTCAAGGCAAACCATTAATTAGTTTATTTTTTATTACAATTTTAACCTTAGGTAAATGACCACAAAGGACAAGCATGATACACACCATTTGTATGACTACCATAAAGGACAATAATGAATATAATACTCATCAACAATCTCATAGGTATTACTTACGTATCTTGTCTCTCAAGGATCCAAAAACCCTAAAACAAAAACCAAAAACCCTTAAAGAAACAACCAAAAATATACGTATTATTAAACATTTTGATTGGATTCAATGAAGGATTCATCTGGCAATACTAATTCGGAACAATGGAGCAAGGAAAGGTTATTTTTTCTTTTCTTTTTTTTTTTTTTTTTTTTTTTTTGAAAGGTTATTTTTTCTTTTCTTTTTTTTTTTTTTTTTTTGTTTTCGTTTACTTGCTGAGGGGTAAATGTTTGTATTGGTTCGGTTATCCAAAGTCAAATAATATATCAATGTTTGACTACCTAAAACCAAACAAATTGTATATGTTCGGTTTCATAGTGTCGAACATAATTCAATTCTTTGATTTTTAAGTATCGAACAAAAACCATTTGTTCGGTTAGAAACAGTCGAACAATTCCATTTAATTCGACTCTGTACTGCCGAAAGCTTATAACATTTTTTTATTTTTTGGGCTTTTTCCAAACATGTGCATCCATAGAATGCAGTAATGTTGGATCTGGGGGGAGATGGAACAGAGAATGGAGGGGGAGATGGAAATATCGTGGGTGGGTGGGTGGGGGGAGATGAAATTGGGTGGGTGGGTGGGGTGTGTGAGTGAGTGAGGGTAAACATGGAAGTAGATTGTGGGTGGGGTGTGTGAGTAAGTGTAAATATGAAAGTTTATGGTGTGTATTAAGTAAAATATTTATTTATCAAAATATTAAGGGTGTGCCTTGAGTAATGGTTTGCCTTGAGATAAAATATGGTGTGTAAATAGAGGCACCCTCCACACCACTTTTCCTCTCAAGGCAAACCATTAATTAGTTTATTTTTTATTACAATTTTAACCTTAGGTAAAATAACTACAAAGGACAAGCTATGATACACACCATTTGTATAATTACTATAAAGGACAATAATGAATAAAATACTCATCAACAATCTCAAAGGCGTTACTTGCGTATCTTGTCTCTCAAGGAGCCAAAAAGCTTAAAACAAAACCAAAAACCCTTAAGAAACAACCAAAAATATACGTATTATTAAACATTTTGATTGGATTCAATGAAGGATTCATCTGCCAATACTGATTCGGAACAATGGAGCAAGAAAAAGGTTATTTTTTCTTGTTTTTTTTTTCGTTTTCGTTTTCGTTTTCGTTTACTTAATGAGTGGTAAACGTTTGAATTAGTTCGGTTATCCAGAGTCGAATAACATATCAATCTTCGACTACCTAAAACCGAACAAATTGTATATGTTCGGTTTCATAGTGTCGAACATAATCCAATTCTTTGGTTTTTAAGTATCAAACAAAAACCATTTGTTCGGTTATAAACAGTCGAACAATTCCATTTAATTCGACTCTGTATTGCCGAACACTAACAACATTTTTTTATTTTTTGGGCTTTTTTCAGACATGTGCATCCATAGAATGCAGTAATGTTGGATCTGGGGGAGATGGAAATAGAGAATGGAGGGGGAGATGGAAATATCGTGCGTGGGTGCGTGGGTGGGTGGGTGAGTGAGTGAGTGAGGATAAACATGGAAGTAGATTGTGGGTGGGGTGTGTAAGGGTAAATATGGAAGTTTATGGTGTGTATTAAGTAAAAAATTTATTTATCAAAATATTAAGGGTGTGCCTTGAGTAATGGTTTGCCTTGAGATAAAATATGGTGTGTACATGGAGGCACCCCATGTCCACAGAAGGCAAAGTGTATTTTTCCCATCATAATAAACTCAAAAAAGATTGGGTTTTCAGAAGCATTTCTATTTTTTCACATCAAAATTACAATAAACATCTGGCCAAAAAAAAGAGCAAAACAAAACATAATTGAAAAACAATACAATAACATAATTTTCCTACAAAAATGTGGCAGTTTTTCTCATTTCCAAACAAAAGCCTCAAAAAAATGTCACTACCATCTATAAAAATTAAACCTTTATAAAAGAAAATTCAACAATAAATCGTTTTAAACGAAATTCAATCACAACATCAACATAAAAAATCACCAACAACAAATAACATAATACCTAAACACATTCAAGATACATCAAACACCCTCTATCACCATGGAATCAAACCCTAGCAGACATATGTATGTATATGTATACATGGGTGTATAGTTATGCTTTATTCAAATTACCCCATGGATTTCTTTTATGCTTTATTCTGTTTTTTTTATTGTTGTTACGTCATGCTTTATTTTCACTTACATCATATGCTTTATTCACTACCTCAGTTCATGTTCCTTGACTGCTTGCTGGTGTATTATTGGTCTTTGTACATGATCAAACCAACTTGGGTGGAATTTATGAGGCTCACTTAGTGGCACGCCTCAGAGTAATGCATCCCAAAAATACCTTTTTTTTTTCAAAGCAATACATCCCAAAAATACCTTAAGTCCTGCATTATTTTATTTAACAATGTTTTCTTTATTGAAACACTATTTTGGTGTTTCTATTACTTACATTTCTATAATATTTTAAATGGTGGACTCTTAACTGCTTTCATTGCTTAACTTTTCTAATAATCATGCAATTTTAGCATATATATATATATATATATATATTTTTGTTAGTGAGACCTTTTGTAAAATAATTTGATGAGAATTTTTTTTGTTGGAAGTTTCTATTTACATATCATCATTTCTCTCGTCCCATCCCATTTTTTTTAAAAACATTTAGGTAGTTTTTTGAAGAGTTTTAGAATTATGATTTAAGAGTAAAGCTGTACTTTGAGTTTATGAATTTTAGAATTATAATTTAAGTGTGAAAAATTTGTTTGGTTAGGAGTTTTGAAAAAAGTTTTAAAAAGAGTTTTGAATTGAGATTAGAATTTTTGATGTGACATATGATACTTAATATAAAAACTTACAACTTATAACCACAAACACAACTCAAAATTATATTCAAAACTCATAAAAAAAAATTTAAAAAATTTCGATTTTTTATTTAAAATATAAAAAATAACAAGTGCCAATTGCCAATTGCTAAAAAAATAAATAAAAATAAAAAATATTGTTCCAGTCAACTGGCCGGACGTCCGGGAGGACGACTGGTTAGCCCAAATTTTCCTGCCTTGGAAAAAGTTTTCAAAAGTGGATGTGAAATTAATTTTTGAAAACTCTAAACAAACAGGACACTCAAAACAATGAGTAGAAATATATTTGGAGAAGCTACCAAACACATCCTTAATTATTAATTTGCCTATTAACAAATTACCAAGGAGGACAGTCGACACCAACTCAAACCTCTTGCAACAATTTTCTACAGTTACTCTAGGTGATGACAACAGCAGCGGCAGTGAACGAGACCCGAAAACTCTCTCCACCCTCGCAACACGTTATCCATCCCTCTCGATCTCCACTGCTAGGCACTACCATCACCAGCAAACAGAAAGATCTAAATTCGCCTAAAGAAAAAGAAGAAAAGATGAAGGGTAAATTACACTTACACCCTCTGAGATTTGGTTTAATACATATCACCCCTAACGTTTAGAAAATTACACTGACTCCCTATCATTGTAATTATTTAAACAGAATGAAAATATTGAACTCATGCATTCTCTCTTTTCTTTCTTTGCTTTACTTCTTCTATTTTTTTTTTCCTTTGCTTTACTTTTTATTTTCAATGTAATTTTTTCTATTTCTACTGGGAGTTGTTGCCTTTTATATAAGTAGGGGAGTTTGTGAAATGAGACTATTAACCACAAGGGTGAAAATGTAATTTCTAGAATGTCAACGGACAGTATGTAATTGGACCAAACCTCTAGAAGTATCAATGTAATTTACCCAAAGATGAAAGAGGGTTGACTATGGAGGCTCCAATAGCTGAGAATGTTGACGCCATTAGCTTTTCACATCCGCTTGTTGTCTTCGCACCACCACGATAATGACTTCCCTCTCCGGCCACCATTACAACCCCTTAGTCCATCTCGTAGACCCCTGTAATAACCCCAACCTCCGATTAATGCTAACCATGATTATTTATACCTAACTGTAATTTAGAAGGACTTCGGAATTCAATTGCATA